CAGGAATCTGATTGCAAAATGGCTCATTTTATAAACATCACTACTTTTAAGACTGACAAAAATATGCACAATCAGGTGCCAACTCCTTCACGAATACATCTCCTACAACTTGTGTCGTAAATTGCTTGCAAGTACAAAAGTCTAAGATGTGAAAGGTCTATGCTCAAACCATAAAAAAATGGCACAGTTCATACAAAGGTTTCACAGATTTTTCTCTTCTGCCAGCTTCACATCCATGTAACTTCACTACTTCCAGAGGAGTTACTCCCAATATATACATAAATTCACATCTAAATTAAGCCATCTCCTGTATACAATACTGGACCTGGGATTACATATGCGTTTCAAACACAAGTGAAATACAGGACAGAGAAAAGATAACTGGACCTTGCCTATTTTAAGATCATTATATAGTCTGTATATCACAGCGCAGAGGAAGCACACATTTCTTCAGAATTTGCTTTTTAAGTTTGCTGTCCATTGTAGAAGTCTCTTTAAAACATGGGCCATGAGGTACTGATGTAGTCTGAAAAAAAATACATTTCTAATTGGAAATGTTTGAGTTACAAAACCCATACGTGACAGCCCACTATTTAAAGCAGTAACGAACCCTAAATTGAACCACTTCCTCATGGCAGCGATTGCTGTGTTGGTAGCAGCTACAGCTTTTCTAATTATCATACAGGTTAAGACAAAGTATTGAATGTTTTAGCTCACTCACGTACGACATGGATATATTTATAATAAGCTTAAGTATTGGGAAAAACCAGTCATTTGGTACTGCCCAACTGCCCATGCCAATAGGAGACCTTCTAGTCATTCTGTAGTGCCTGCTCTTCTCAGACACTTCACAGAATCTATTCAAAAATCCAGTGTCAACTTCTAATATTGGAGTCATTGGGGGTTTTTGTTTGGTGGTTTGTTTTTTTTTTTTTTACATTTCCATTAAGATCATTTAAAGATAGTAGTCTTAATATAGCAGGGATGGAAACACAAATAAAAGTCAGACCTCACAATCCTCATAAATTTAAGACATAGTTTTAACCTCTTAAGGAGATGTGCCTTCTGCTTTTATTAAAAATTAAGGTAATGTCAAATAAAAAGCAAAACTAAAAAATAATAGGTAGAATATTTTACTTTCATCAAACCTTAAATGTAAAGTATACTTAAAAAACATGGTTTGGAATTTCAAGAACAGGAATATAAACACGTATTTCTATCCCAGAAAAAAATTCATGCGGGTGTTACAGTATTTGATCATTCTCTACATCCACTGGTATGCAACATCAACTTAATGTTTTTAAATAGATACAGAGATACCATAAATGCATACAAAAACCAAGGTCTTCTGGCCTCAGTTATACTGTAGATCAAACAAATCTGTTCTTTGGTAATTGGAGTAAGGTCATTTTCCATTCCAATGCAGGACTGTTAGGAGGCTGTATTAGCCACTCATCTCAGAAAATTACAACTCCTGTAGACATAGTCTTTGCTACTTTTGTCACAAGAAAATAATATTAGAGGTGGTATTAGAGGTACAAATGCAAAGAAGTTAAAATTACTCATTCCTTGTGGTAGCTGTTTCGGGGAAAAAAAAAAAATCCAAACTCTCTCCTTCTCTATTCATTGTTTAATCCAGGTAACATTGAGACTCATATGTAAAGGTATTTTGATAGACGGGAATGTACACATGCACACTTTCAGTTTGAATAGAGACCCCTGTGTGGAGAATGGCAATTTAAAGTTAACATGACTTGAAGGTGTTACTATTATAAAGTTGAAAGATTTAGTAAACTGGGACATTACAAATCCAAAAAAGCGTTTCTAGGTTTTTTCACCTTCCCTTTTTCAACAAAGACTGACAGAATATACATATACAGGTTGACATTTTGATTTATCCAAAACAATTTTCACTTTGCTCAGTTTGCAAGTCCTACTGACTAAAATGTAGTATCAATCACAACAAAATATTTTCAGTAAGTGAAACAATAAGCAAAGAAAACCAAAACTAAGCTCAGAAGCTAAGTGGTTTAGAAAGCCTGGTAACATCTATGTGTGCATAAGTGTGTCTATAATTTTTTTTTATACATTATATATATAGACACACACACACATATATATACACACACACACGTGCGCACATGCGCACATGCACACACACACATTTGTAACCTGCAGTGAAGATCAATCTATTCTCTAATAAGGAACAAAACACATTATTTAAAAATGTGGCTAATTTAACAAAACAGAGAAGAAACTGCTGCTATCAAAATATACAATTTGGATTGCAGACTAGAAGGCTAACAACATTAAAAAAATAGTTTTAAGCAAAACCCCTTTGCTTCTGAATAACAACAGGTCTCAACCTGCCATAGCATGAAGCATCCAAACAAGATTTTATAAAAAGTTTAAACTGTGACCCTTCTTCATTTGCAAAGTTCTTGACATATCATATAGTGCGAGCTCTGGTCTCCAAACTGGAGCCCCTTTCATTTTTCTCAATCCATACTTCAGGAAATAAATGGCAGCTGAAGGATTCAGAATCTCAAGTGAGATTTGTGCTTTACCATATACCTGAAAAAAAATGAACAGAAGACGACATTATTACTCTTTTGGTATTTATAGAAATTTTACTCTCAGGAATAATATGCCCAGACTTTGTTAAAACAAAATTCTTAGAGAACTAGCAAGTTGCCAGAGAGATGCAATGTCTTACATACCATACAGCTCTGTATTATGCACAATATTTGTCCCACTAAAAGTCAACTAAAACCTTTGCTTCGAAGAAAATTCATGTTTTCCAAGGCATCACATGACTTCTAACATTGGAAGACTGTTAAGATAATTCTAGTTCATTCTGGGAATTCAGATATATAGTTTAGCCGAGACTTTTAAGTAAGAAGTCATAGAAAGTTTGATGCTTGGAATTATTTTGACAATTCCCATAGGATTTCTCTTTTTGAAGTTCACTCAATCATTCAAGCAGTCTGCTGTGCAATCAACATGAAAAGATTAAACATTCATGAAATGCATGGGCTTTTCCCCTCAATATTTCTTCACCTGCTTCATGATAAGAAAGTTTCTTCCCTACAACACAAAAAAAGTATTGCAATGAACTTCCTATTCAGATAGGGTTTTGAACCGCAGCGAAGCAGAGTCAGAAGCCACGCTGCTCTTCACAGAGCTGCTGGCGCTCCTCCATCCCTTACTTCTCACGAAAGGCAGGGTTAAGTACTTGGTAGGCCCCTAAGATACAGAAGAATCACCAGTCCAAAGCTCATTTTGTGCCATATCTTTTTTTGACTTACTTCCTCTTCTACCCAGTGCTGTGGACTCAAGGGCATCAGGATGAGATAACGCTTTGTAGTTCTTTATCTTAAGGTAGTTTCTTACCTTTTCTAGACTGTCATCTAGTGAGGTGAAGAAAGAAAGGAGTAGAGCTTGTAAGCTCAGAACTGCGGTCCAAAGGGAGGGCTAGGGAAGCAAAGGAAAACTCTACACCACCCCGCTCGTTCTCCATTCCTTTCCTTTTGCCTAAAGGGAGGTGGGGAATCACGGTACTGATTGATGATTAAAGGTAACTACCTTCCTTTAAATCCATGCATGTTGTTACATTTTAGAGATTATTATTTACAGTTTGTAATAAAATATAGTGGTATATATTTAACTATCATCAGGGAAAATCTAAGCAAGCAGTATTTTCAAGCTAGAACATGGCTCAGATGTCCAAGTTGTACACAATTCCCTTGTTGCCATAACTTTTCATTCCCACTAAACATGAAAGCACAAGCACAAAGGATGTTCAACAGGAAACATACCTGTCCAAAGTTTCCCAGAAGCGTAGAAATACTGGCCTGTCCAAGTGCCTTTTGTGGTAGCTTAGTTCTAACACTGTTACATCCCACTTCTGTACATTGGGATCCAGGCGTACTTCATCATATTTGAGATGAAAAGCTTTAACTATAGGATAGAGAAAAACATTTAGTGTACAAACATTACTTTACAAACTTTACAGTGTTTAATTATTAGTCAAAGAGAATTCCCACCCCGTCCCTCTTTTTTCAGAATAGAGCCTGAGAATCAAATTAATGAGTCCATCTCTCAAGAAAGTCAACTAGTTAATAAAGGGCACTGGCCACTATCAGGCTCTCGTGCTATTGCAGGTTTAAGTGAAAGAGCAGCCCCTATTTTTAGATGCATAGTGTCCAGGAGAATACCAGAAACTCATTGTCAATTCAAGCACATTTTCTTTGGGAAACAAAGATCATCTTTCTGAAAATCTTTGAACTGTTCAGGAATTAATTAAAAAAAAAAAAAAAAAAAAAAGAAAAGGGCAAAAAAGCATTTCTTAGACCATTGAGAAGGAAGTCTGGTCTGGCTAGTTCCTAAAAGTCTGTGCGGAGGACTGATAGCAGAATGTCAGTGTCACCCTCAAATACTACACGAAGCATTTTGAGAAATTTAGTAACTGCCAGTTTCCCCTGATCTGGTTCTCAGTTAAAAATGGTAAAATATTAACAGTTATTTTGCTCTTGGGAAGTATTGTCACACGTGAATTATGTAAAGCCTAAGCATTAACACAGTGAGTTTAATATCTTCTTGCGATTCTTCTTGATTTCCTTAGCCAAATCACAGTTTTGACATAATCCAGTGCAAGATATTTAAGTCTTGTACAATGCCTATCTGGTAACCAATTTGATGCATTTTCTATTTTGGATATTACTGGAGAAGTAAAGCAGAAGCATTTGACCAGGCTTGTGGAAACTAGTTGTGTTTAATGCCACAGTCATGTCTTTTCTGGTACCACACGCTCAATTTTTTTTCCACAAAATCCACCTACAATTTTAGTCAAATGGCTCAAATAACTAACTAACGAACTAAATAGATAAATCGGTCCCCTTGTCCAGATACAGGTCAATCTATAAAATGATATATCTAGGAGCTTTCTAGAAGGTTGGTATCTGACATTAGCTTTTTTTTCAATTAACAAACTAAAGTAGTGATCACCTGGCTTGTACCACTGCCAGATAAACTGCTACGCTTATGAATTAAAACCAACAATACATATACATTATCTTTGCTATACAATGTTGCGTGTTTTAAAGTAACTCCAGAGAAAGCAAATAAAGATATACCAGGGATATGCATTTACAGAAAACTGAATCAACACCAGACAGAGCCTCTGCATCAACAACATTGAGCAGAAGACAACCCACTTCTGAATCCAAAATGAATCAGTATTAAAGCGCGCTAATATGCTCTAGCAGCAAGACCTTTAAAATGGCATTCAAAATGAAATAGTTGTTCATTAAAGTGACACAATTCAAAATTTCTCAAACATTCACTTGCAGATGCGAAAATAAGGTTGTTTGCTACGTGAAAATTAAACATAGACGACGTGTAAAGAAAACTGGAGAAGAACAATTTCAGAGACTCAACTAACAACATGGTATGTGACATAGCAATTGAACAGATAAAACCAGTTTGACAGGCTCTGGTCCTATACAAATTTTATTGAGAAATTACTTATGGTAAGCTTGTTTTCCAAAGTGACAATGATAAGCTTTGAGTATTTCTTAACCACTACAGACCCAGTGACTGACATGACGAAATGCAAGCTGCAGATGAAACAAGATCCCAGAACCCACATTCATGACGACTACTGAAGACTATAAATACGGGCAAAGCAATAGCTTCAGGAAAAGGTAAACACATACCCGCAGACTGATGTTGCCTGTGCTCTCTCCATTTACACGGTTTTTGTTTTAAGGAGTGAGTAAAGTCACTAGGAAAAGCCCTAGAGATACTCTTTATCAGGAAACTATTTTAAAAACACCTCACTTTGAAACAATGGAATGCATTTCTAAGATAAAGGTCTATTTCAGTGTATCTTTACAAGCCATGTAAGAACAGACATCCTTCATTCACTCGAAAAATGTAAGGATGTGTACACCTCAGACTGAATTACACCGGCTACGATTTTGATCTTCTGGCATAGCAGAGACCTCGAAAATGTCAAAGCATATCTCAACAATTCCTATGGCCCTCTACACATTTATATATACATAATGTTAAAAGTAGTAAATGGGAACTAGCATTCAACTACTTGCTAGACATTAAATATTTAACAGCATTTTCTCTGGTTTTGCTTCTAACAATTTCCATTTTCTCAATCCCCCCTTAAGCAACTCATTCTGTTTTCTTGTTCACAGATACACCCTTAGCCTTCTGTCTGATTGTCTTCTTTTTTTGCTCCTTATCAAACTAACATTCTCTGGCCGGCTTTTACTTCACATACCAAATACATGCACACATAAAACCTGATCGAACTTGTTTCCTCATCACACGGACTGGAAGATGACAGACTGAACTAAGGTGTTTTTTGGTGTGGGTTTTGTTTTGGTTTTTGCACTTTTCTGTGTATACGTTGTTTTTTAAAAAATCTGTAGCTCAAGCCACTGGACACTATAAAAAGGCCTATTTTCTAAGGCAGCTTCACAATGAAGCAACAGAGAACAGAAGGTGACAGTTTCTTCAGATATCACACACCTTACAGTCAGAAGAGTGAACTGTGCAAGAAAGTTCAGTGTGACTCAAAGCATACTAGGCATAATTGTGATAACTGAAAAAACCTGTTCAGATCTATACAGTGGTAACATCTAGCTCACAACTTAAAAGTATTTATAGCTTATTAAACTTTCAAGTTTTGTCAGACACCAGATCATATTTGTAAAGCTTTCTTAGTGAAATACTGGGTGATTAATCCTCTGTTCAAAGCGACAGTGAAATCCCAAGACAGCCTGTAAACCAACGTTACCTATGAAATGTTAGAATATATATTCTCTTTTCACCTTTTTTTTTTTTTTTTTTTTTTGAAGCTTGGAAAGTAAATGTATACACTAGCTATGTCTGAAAGTCTTGTAAAGATGACAGCACTGAGAAGATTTCCATCAGCTTCCACAGGTCAGAACAGAAGAATCGCAGAGGGCACATTAATATTTGCCATCTGTGTGAAGACCTAAACCCCCGTCTTCTCAACAGCACTTTGGCAGTGCTTGGCAGTACTTTGCCATAAGCATAAACACCCCACAAAAAAACCCCAAACAGAATAGCAAATCCCAAAACACTTAAAACAAAATAACCCCTTACTTTTTGCAAAGATATCAACAGGTGATCCGTCAGGCAAGAGCCAAGGCCAGCCTTTGAACTGCCACGCAGGACCCTGTACAAACACTGCCACCACACGATCCCTGCGAACACAGGAAGAGTCGGACATGCTGATGGCCTTGAACACTTAAATTACATGCTTTCTTAAAGAGGCAATATACCTTAGCATAGTTTCTTATTTTAGTAACAGCAGTATAGCAGATTTAACACCACACTTGCTTTTTCGTCTGTTAAGCAAAACCAAAAAAACCCCCACAAAACCCCAAAAAAACCCTAAAATCGTGATTTTTCTGGACTTTTGGCTCTGTCCCTTTGCAGAATGCAGCTAGCTCAGTTTCTCATGTTATGTTTACAAGAAGTCAAATAGTGTTTATTTCTGGTCATTATTACTTTGCTTTTAGAAAGTGCTCCAACACTTTGAGATAATCTTCTATGAGCAACACTGTAAACTGAGATGTATCCCTTTAAAAGCCTTTATTCTGAATACTGCTAACTTCTGTTCTAAAAATTTGTTAGAAGAGACAGCTGCTAATTTTCTGCAAAATGCATCATTTATTGTAAGGGTATGTAACCATTACCTGCAGTCCAAGAAAATAAATTTGTGATTAAGATGAAGCTTTTACATTAATAAAAGTTAAAAAACCTCCACCTTTGAGAACAAATGACCTTCCATATATGCTCCATCTTCCCCTTGAACACTTTACATCATCCAAACGTGGTTCCCACATACTACAACAAATAACAACCCTAATCTAATCCCCAAATTTAATTCTACCAATTCCCAAAGGGAAAAGAATAATCAAGGTGGAGTTTGGGTTGTTTGTTTTTTTGTTTTTTTTTTTTTAAAAAAGCCAGACTTAAGCTTTACTATTTAAAACGGTGCTGCAGGTTTTGTAATGGCTAACAGAAAAACCACACAGCAGTAATGTGTTAATTTGTAGATACTAATACCTGATTCTCCTGGGACAAAAAGAAGCTAAAAACCCCACACTTTAGGAATCATTTTAGATGGTTCTTAAAAGTTTGATCATTAAACATTTTAAGTGCTATTTCCTAGTTAGAATTTTAAAACCACATATTTCTGATTAGTTCTAGCTCTCAATACAGAGTACAATTAATTTAGGAACAGGACCTTTTCAATATTCCTCTCCATTAGAGTCTACTATGGAAGTTACAAAACCACCTAAAATGTTGGCATGCATGTCTAAAAATCTCCACACTAGTGAGGAAGAAGTAAAAATGTTACCCAACTGATTGCATCAAATAACAAAAAGATGCTTATCCAGAATTCTCCTGCTCAAACAGAAATTTGTTTTCCTAGGATTGAAGAATAGGCTACAGACAAAATAATCTGTTTTCAGCTTTTTCTTAAAAGTAAAAGCTATCTATGATTCCCTTTCCCCAACTGGGGCTCTCCCTTCAGAAATAAGCTTCCATCATTGAATCCAATTTATTGAATCTGATTCAATACTGAATTCACAGTTCAGTCCTTAGTGTCTGATGTGGTTGTTTTCTTTCTTTCTTAAAACATTAAAAAAGTTAGAATGTCAGATGCTGGAGATACAAACATATCTTCCCAATAGACTCTCATTCAGAAAGCAGACAAAGAAACAAAGATTTTTCTCTCAGGTCACATTCAGTGACTTGCAAGCTACAGTATCACAAACCAGGAACTAATACAAATATTCCTATTCAAATTTCTGGAACATTTCAGGCAAACCTAATAAAATTAGTTGTGCTGCTCATACTGTTAAAATGTAGATTGTTGCGATTTCTTAAGACCTTTTAAATAATTTTAGGTTCATATTATTTTCACCTGAAGAAAAGACTCTCATATAGTTAATAACGAAATCAATTCTTAGATCCTATCTTCACTTTTCAGTGAATTTAGTAGCATTTTATTGGTCCCCTTGAAATTCTGCATTCTCCTGGTTAAGAAATTTTATAAAGGGGAAATTTATTTTACCAGTCTTGTGGCATAAGTTTCAGAGGTTGGTCTACTACTCGATAAGGTACAGTAACGCTGACTGTAGTTCCCCCAGGCTGCATCTGGTCCTTCCTTCTCTGTATTAGAGTTTCATTCTCTCGTTGACAGCCTTGTTTCTTCTTTTCATCTGATGGTACAAACCTTGGGGAATAAAGAAATATTCAGTAAACACAGGTACCATGGAGAAGGGTAAGATGGGGATACTTAGGCACTAAGAAACAATTGCTTCCCAGAGCAAAGTTTAGAGCTCTTGCTCTTGGAGCCATCAGAACTAGTTTTCTCAAGAAACCTGGTCAAAAAAAAGTTTATTTGGTCAAAAAAGCTTTCAGGTGAGGTGTTTTGTTGGTTTTTGGTGATGATGATTTCACATTACCAATGATTCAACTGGTTAGTGGGATGTATGATACTATAATTCGGGATTTTATTTTTTTTCCTCAATAGCTTCTCTGACAGATTAAGTGCTTGGAAAATAAGGGTAATGTGATCCTCATCCTTATGTAATCTCTGTATGACAAAAAAGAAATGCTTAAGATGTGATCTGCCCTCAAAGAATCATAGATCTTTTATTTTTCAGCCCCTCACCTTAAAAGAAAAAAAAAAAAGCAATTACATTTCAAGAGTCTCTTACTTATGGCAATATTAAAATAAAATACACAGAACAGTTCTCAAAATTGGCATCATAAATGTGAGTGTAAGCCTTTTTACTGATGAATCTCGGTGGATTTTGTCAAAAGAAAAGATAACAAAGTCACGCATTTTACAGAACTACAACTGTCACAGAAAGGTAAGCTGATGTGACCAGTATCACCTACCAGGCCAGCAAAAGGGCAGAGCTCAGACCCACGTTCTCCTCATGTTTTATTCAGAACTACCCACCTGCACTGCTAACACTGTTTGCTGCTGACATTGCATTTCCAAAACTTCTGATAAAAAGAAACACTATGTTTCACTTAACCGCAAAAGTTAATCACAAGTATTGGCGCTACATTTTAAAAACACAGTGCTCAACGTAATTGGTAAGATTCCTCTTCATTATAGTACAGATGGTGCTTTTTAAAAGTTTACTACATTTTTGGAATAAGTTCGCACTATTTCTACTTGTTCTCTTCGACCTACTTCTCTCTGAATACTAAAAACCAATTTGAATGTGCTTAAACAGGCAGACTGCACTTCCTATTACTGGAAAAACAGAAAAAAAGAATGAAAAATGAAATACGAGGTACAGTTCATTATTCAATCAACTTGAAAATACTGTTTTTTGCTAACATCCTATATCCAATGAGAAAGTGGCATTTTGGGGAAAAAAACCCCAAACAAACGTGTCTTAAGGCAGCACATGGAAACTGTCAATAAACCTTCAAGCAAAACTATTTTACTTCCTTAACATAAATAAACAGATGAAGCCTCCTTATACTCCTCATTTTTTAACAGTGTTTCAAAAACAGAAAGTCACAACCAATTTCTCAAGTGTGCATCCAACTGCACTGGAAAATTAAAAAAACCTGCAAATGACACTGAATTGTACATTAAAGTTGAACAGTATTGCAAATGCAGAAAAAGCATTACAAATGTTAAATGATAAACTATAAATTAAGTTATGCTTATCTGTCTAGTACATGGAAAACAACACCATCCCAAAGAAAATACAGACAAAAAAGCTATACAGTATACACTGGGGAAAAAGTACACTTAGGCAACCTAGAACACTATAAAAAACCCGTTAAGACAGTCATTTCACCAGTAATTGAGGTAATTAGAAAACAGTTAATATTTACATATATTTTATGTACTGCAACCGACACACACAATTGCGTGCTACACACAGAAGCGTTCAACTCAGCTCTGCTTCGGAAAAAGTTACCAAATGCGACATCAGAATGAAGTATTTCTAGTCAAGTTACCAATTTAAAAACTCAAAAATGAGGTGCAACGTTAATCATGGGCATACCTAATGGCCCGTCCTGCCAACATGTTGCAGGCTTTGCTTTGCCAATACTAACTGACAGCAAACTGTATTTTATAACTTAAAATAAGGATTTGCTTGGTAGTCTTGAGCTTTTACAGAAACCGTTCATGAGTCTCTCCTCAACCATAAGAACTAAGCAACACAGGCTGGAAAGATGGAAATAATATTTATTTCTAAATATTTTTTTTTAATTACCACACCCACTTGGAAAAAAAAACCAAACAACCTCAACCTTTTACCCAAGTAGCAAGGTCTAGATGAAAAGCCAGTATCACCTAAAATGGTGGAGAACTCAAGAAGAATTTTGCTCTTTCTTACATGTCCCATGCACTACATGAGAACAAACTCTTACAGAGCATGTAAACGAAAGAAAACCAGCCATACATATATTACAGCGATAATCAAATATTCATATGAACAGCAATCTAAAAGGTCACATTTTTAATTTATTTTGTAAATGTGAGGAAGCAAACACATTTTAAACGGAAACAGGAAACCTAGCCACCCTTGACAAATTAGACAAGAAGCAATACTGGTACTCTACAGAGTCTTAACAATTTCACCACTGTATCTGAGACCCCTCAAATTAGGCTGAAACAGTTCTACTTCTAGCTTTAAATGTTTCTGTGTTTAAGAATTCATTTCAGTACTAGTTTATTGACAGTTTCTCTCCATTTCAGCTAGAAACTGTATTATAGCCATTAAGGCACCATTCAGTTGTGCCTCAGTTCTGTATCTTCTAGACATTTGCTTCAGTTTTATTTACTGTAAAAATCTGAGTTTTTGGAATGCATTTCTCCAGGATAGAACATAAAATAGCTTGTAATCTGAATTTTCTGAAGAAAAAAATATCAACGAGCAGTTTCAGATGCAACGGTAGAGAAGATGACTGTCACGAAGAAAGCATTGAAGGAAATGCTTACATACATGTACACACACAGAGTACAGGAATAAATGACAGCTTACAGAAAGTTTATGAAAAATATGCTTGCATTTCCAGAACCGTCGATTCAGTAACTACAATAAAAGCCATGTGCTCAAGAACTGAGAAGCAACAGAAATTACTGTATGATTATAGATATAATCGTACCTTACTCCATCACTACCTGGACATAAAAGACAAGCTTAAGCAATCTGAGTATTAAAGAAAATAATAAAACCCCCATCTTTTCTTGAGAGTTATTTGCCACAATACTATAGCTGGTGGCTTAACTACCTATTTGTACTTGACATCTTTTTAATCATCCAACGCACTAAAAATGTGTTCTGAAACCTGACTGTGCAGGAGCTTACAATGTTTTGTTGCTTCTCCAAATTCCTCTTCCCCAGTAAAGAAAAAACATTTCCACATCTACTTCAAATCCATTTTTACACTCCTACTAGGAAATTAATAGTAATCAATTATCTTGCTGTTAATTGCCAGAATCATTATCCACATAAACACTGTGCACTTCCTCACTTTACGACGACAGCAGGTGCCTTTCCTAAGGTAACAGGTGAGCGATTGAACAAGATCAAATTATGGGAGGTAACTGGTAAGATACTACCCACTGCTCATGCCCAGGCTCTAAATGCACCTCAATTGCCAGCACTAACTGTAAAACACTTTCACCAAGGTCAGGTCGGCACTTTCTGGCCCCCAGCTCAGGTATACTGAGAATCCATGAACAGAGAGTAAGGCAACTCCAATGCTGGACAGTAACATCACTGTAATGTACCTTTCATTGGGTTTAGAACTGGAGACTTATTTTTACAACCCTCTCAATATTTTTGTTGGATTACAGTACCAAAAGCTTCATACACCTATTTTTGCAAAAGAACAAAGTTTTTCTTGCAATACATCATCCCTGAATCTTTCAGATAGTTTGCTCAATATCAAAGCTGGATATATCTCAGCAAGTTGCCTGGCCACATATGGTGAAACACACCATGAGTAAAAGCATCATCATAATAAAAATACATAATCATCATCTAATCATTTACATCTGCCTGATATAATTCCTGCTTCACTTTTGTTCCATGTTGAAGCAGAAGCATTGCCTCTGAAAAGCCTAACTTCAGATACTCTCAAACACTTAGGCAGGAAAGCCAGATTTTACACAATAATTATGATATCCAGTGTTACATTCAGATAGCGAATAAGAATAAAGTGTATTATAAGAAATGTTTTTTAAGAAGCTTCACAATATACCACAAAGTTTTGCAGATCTGCTTTTAAAGGAAATTGTATCTTTTCTTTATTTTAGAAACTCTTAATTTTTATCTTACATTTGACTCCTTAGAAAAATAATCTTTCAAAAAAAGGTTATCAAGAATATTTGCATGTTATCAGCATGTGAATTGTACACGTTACAATTATATATAGAACTGTCCCCCTACAAAATCTAAGCTGCAACAAACAAATCCAACAGACAAATCAGGTATCTTAAAAAAATTGTAACAGGCTTCCAGTTTATCATTCCATATACTTCATTCTACTCATGATAGCTTTCCTGCTTTCCATATTCTCCACATCAAAAGAGAGCATAACACTAGTGATGAATTAAAGATGCTAAGCATCATACAAATGTCAGGCAAGTTTGGCGATTAAAAAACACCCCAACATACTACAGAGCTATGAACAGGCTTCCTATAAATTTTGGTATAATTAATAAGTTTCTTTCAGTCCTTGACAATTTAATGCCTACTGCAGCACTGGACGAACACTGTCCTGTTTATTTTACAGTAAACAACCTAAAATACCAGCCAATGATTCCGCGATTACTTTTTCCCATATCCGAAGTGACAATGCTTCGCAGTCCTGTTACTTACAAAAGAAATCCAGCATCCTAGACGAAGACTATCCTAAAAGACAGGGATTCCCAGCTGTAACTTTGATTTTAAATGGTTTGATCTCTATAATTTCAGCTAACCTTTTTGTTTGCTTGGTTTTTTTTTTTAAAGAAACACTTAAGTGGGGAGAATCACAAAAGGTGGTTTTATTTATAAAACCCAAATACTCTTTATTATCCCATTGTTCACAGAACTGTGCTGCCTCAAGTATCAGGCATGGAAGAAAGTTGCCCTGTAAACAGCCTGTGCCACATATGTATCACAGCTTCCATACCCTAACAATCCTGGGGACCTCACTCTCCCAGGATTCTCCTACATCTCTTAGACTTTCAGCTCCAAAATTCCCTTCCCCTTCTGCTATATCATTGATCTCTGATGGTTAATACAATCACGCTGATTACCTCAAGAAATACAAGAAATTCAAATCTACCTGCATCTTCCTCAGCAGGGGTAAGGGCAGGAGTATTAATTTGGGTGTGTCTTTTCTATCTGGACAACATTTCTTTATTCCAAAACTTAGCAATGACATGTGTCTTCCAAATCTCTACTCTTCTGCCAAATTTAGCTGTAGTGGGGAATGAGTTAAAGAAGGCGGTGACTTAGAGGCAGAAATTAGGTAAGTGTTCTTTCCCTGGAAAACCATCACATATCTATCAATCACTCTACATCAAGGCTAGTTCTACACTCGGCATACCTGAACAGTAAAAGCAAACCCTGCAGCCATTCCTAAATAAACTACTTCAATAAGTTTGAATGCAAAAAACTACAGGCCAGGTGGCATATTTTCTAGAAGACTGCTAGAACTGTCACGCCTAAATTAATATTTTGCTCTTCTGAATTCTGCTGTTGCACTTCCAATTCATTAACATACCTTACCTCTTCACTTTGTCTTTCATACCTGTTAACTATATCAGTGTCCTCCTTCGAACTCTTAAACTTCATTTCATTTTTTCTGGGTCACATTCTTTGTATTCTACCAATCAGCCTCCTCTTGGGGCAGGTCTTGAGAAGTTAACTGTAGCTCTACCCCAGTGGAGCAGAAAAAGGTCAAGCCTGCTAGCACAGATATACTTAGACATGACATATATAGGTGCTTCGTTCCATTATATGTCTTCCTGTACCAGAAAGTCACAAATTACATAGATGTAAAATCCAGGGCTTGCAGTTGTGAAATTTTTTCTTAAAACATAAAACCCCACATAAACAAGCAACATCCTCTGTCAACACAATTATATCAGTCCAGTAACTGCTTGCACATTAAACTACAATGTTAAAAGCCAGCCTTCTCTCCTATTGAATATTCCAGAAGAGGCACCAGGAGTTCACCACGCTTACTGGATCTTTGATGACATGTGGCAGTAATCTAGGAACTAGAAATAGCTGGAGATCAGAAGGCACTGGTATCTCACAGTACAGTTTTAAAAAATTCTAGGGCAACTCCAGTGAAAGCTGTAGCAGCACAGTAAGGACAGCCTATTTTTGGAGAAAAGCAATGTACAATTTCATAAAGAACAAGTAAAGTGCTGAAGGTGGAAGAAAGAAGAGCTCCTTGGTTTTTGCAGAGTCTTGAACAGTGTGCTCCACTATCAAAATGACTGCCTGTTTCAGAAAAATTAACTGATATTAACCGATACGCAAATCTAAATAGCATGATCTGTTGGACAAGCAGAAAGATGGCTGGAGGGTTTTGTTGTTGTTGTTTTTCTATTGTTTTGTTGTGGGTTTTTTAACGCAACAGTGAATTTTACCTTACCATGAAGAACATAATTTGCAGTGTTGATTGCATACAGCCATAATGAATTAAATCTTAGAATCAGATGTGTGATACAATAAACAAATTTTAGCAACTCAGTATTATTTCCCTGAATGAATTTACATCAATAACTTAATGACAATGCTTTATTCTTATTTTTGTTGTATGTGAATTTTAAAAAAATCCTTTATTTACACAACCAGCTGACCTGCTCGGCTGATACAGTCATTTATCTAAAACAGAGGCCACCCTCTGGTCGCCTTCTCCTTTACAGTAAAACTGTGGTCACTACTTGAAATCTTTTCTGAGCTCCATGAGCACACTGTCCTTGCTCATCTTCTGTAAGTCTTCTTCCATTGTAAGGGTTCATTGATTAGTTGCACAGGTATGCATATGTTACAAAAAAGAAGACCACTACAGACATTAGTAACGGTACTGTAAGACTTTCTTCGCAATCTGCCCATCTGGCCCACAGGTCACAACTGTACAAAAACTCTGATAATAAGTTTTTGCTTCCTTCCAGCTATTCAAGAGGCATTAATTTCCTTTATAATCTGGTCTGTAAAACTAGCTTGTCATGAGACAGTAGATATATCCCTCTTGCTTAATTACTAATTTGGTACTAGTATACCTTTGTATCTGAAAACAGTTTTTTATACAGTATGTTCTAATCAGCTACTTACTTCAGATCTTGCAGAAGGTCCTTTGCATTGAGCATCGTTATTAAAGAGGTTGTGGCTGCTGGAATAATGATTATGGGAGTTCGAGATCCTGTAGAGATAATAAAGTTACATTTGTCTGCAGCCTTTTCTGTTGTGGTTTTGGTTGTTCGGGTTTCCCCTCTGCCTCCCTTTTTTCACTAAAGGAACTGTACACAAAACCAAAACTCCTGCTTAGCAGATCAAAATAACGGAAAAATATTCAAGGAAAACTGTAGCAAATCTTTCCTAAACCGAAGGTTTCCATTCACCAAAAAAGCATACCCCTGTATCAGGAGTCTCTAATACAGGTAGGACCCACATTAAGCAAAACTGAACACTGCTTTCCACCGCTTGTTTACATTGTTGCTTGTGGTTCCGGCAAAAGAGAGTGGGCGTGCTTCACACAAAAATGAAGGGGATCGTGTAACTAAAATTGACTCACCTTTTTTCTGGTTTGGAGGTGGTCTTGCTTGAGAAACTGAGAAAAAAAACCCAGAAAATATGTCAGAATGACTAACACACAAATACAAATGTCATTGTAAGGCAACATTTCAATGCTTTTAGCTGCAGGAGTGAACAGAGAAGAGTTACACTGTACTCAGATCATTTTCACAGATGCAATACACAAAACTGGAGAAGAGTTCTATAATTTGGGTTTCAGTATTCAGAAGACAAACAGCTTTTGACCATCTGAAACAGATGTTAGGACAGTTGAGTCAATGTCTCCTAATTACTGAAACTAGTCACCCCTCTCCCTCCTCCTCAAAAGGTCAGGGCACTACAGCACTGACAAAAATTGCCACCAATCTTGAAAAAAGCTGCTTGTAGATCTTAAGTTCAATAGTGCTTAACCCAAAGACTGTTTCACAACAAACTAATCTTTACAGACCCTCACCTTTTCATTAGTAGTTTTTATTGTACACGATATCTGTAGGATTTAGCTATCCTTAACTCACATAGAACTTTCAACCACCAAAATCTGAATTTCAGGCTGACTCAAGCTAATTTTTTATTGCAGTTTGAGTTACATGAGCTCTCTGGGCATCAGAAACAGCAAAACTTGACAGATATGGCAGCACTCAAGCAAAACAACCACCACCACAACAACAAAACCAAACACACACACACAAAAAAACACCAACAAAAAAACCTCCAAGCCACCAAACAAAAACACACAAACAATACTGGCTAGACAGAAATCAAGGAATTCCTGCCCCACCCCCCAATAAAATGGTTTCACTTCAGACTTCCAAGCTGGGACCCCCTCAATATGGGAGGTACTTCAGTCCAAAGTTGGAAAAGCACATATTTTTCTTTGCTTTGGTGCTATTACTGGATAACCTGTCCTCCTCCAAATAAACATTTTATAGTTCAGTTTTCAGGACCACTAATTTAAGGAAAGAACTGTTGTGCTTGATAATTATCATCATAGGTGTTTATCCTAATTCACAAAATCAGAAAATGGTGAGTAGTAGAAAGATTGATGCAGACTAACTCAACTGCTACTGTGCATGACAAATTTCATTAATTAACTTCCAATTTCATAGCACCAACTTGCTCATGTTTATTTATGACCAACTGTTTCAGAAACTTCCTAGAACAGTATAAATATTCACAACACATAGTTGCCATTGTTGAAATACTGAGACCATATCCTTAATTATCTTTTCCTGACACTGTCAAACACACAGATATAATTGGCAACACTATATTGAACTACATGAACTCTACCTACCCAATGATTTTTTTTTTTTTAATTTTTCTTTGTTAAATCTTGGTATTTCCTTAATGTAAAAAAAAGTTCCTGAAATACAGGCGGTGTCAGCTGCTCCCCCCCCCCCCCCCCCCCCAAGGGGGGTGGGGGGTAGCAATTTGACAGTTGTACCAGGACAGGTTAGTAGAAAAGTTGGTACTGCAGAAAGGTGCAGGAAAAAATTGTAACTTAAAAAGCACGTCTTATTTTTTTTCAAATCAGTATTCTACAACCGGTTTGTAAAATTCAACTAACACTTCTTAAGTGCGAAGCAGCATCCTCCTGGAAATTGCATGCTTTAAATACTTCGACTGCTAAGAACAGAACAACTGGGTTTTTCTTGAAGTTCCAAACCCCAAAATATCCTAGATCAGACAGAAAGATAAATTGGTTTTGTGTTCTGGGCTTTTTTTTTTTTTGGTTGGTTGGTTTATTTTGAGTTTGGCTGGGGTTTTTTTGAATGAAGCAGTACACACTTTCTTCAGACTACATCTGTCTTTATAGAGAGAAGATAATGGATTAGATTGGCCTTAGAGAAGGCAGTATCAGTATAACCTATATAATGTACAAAAAAATACCCTTCTGCCAGTCAATGCCCATGAAGTCACAGTTAGCAGTAGGAAGCTGTGACAGCTCAGTCAGATTTCTGTTCTTGCCACTTCTACCCTTTTCATACTGCTGTCTGTCAAATCCATTTGCATTATTATGCTTAACGGGGCTAGTGAGATAAGTATGACAGGCAGTATGACCTTTCTAGTACCAAAATAACCAAACAGAAGAATCTGTGCACAACAGCATTTATGTATGCTGAGAACATTCAACGTTAGAATACATTTAGGGAGAGAATAATTTCTACAATATTAAGTCTTAGCATTAAATCCTACTAATAAATCTCAAGGAATTAGCAAGGCACACATTGAAAGCATTCAGTAGTCTCAACAAGAATATATAGTACTCTAGCAGTACTTCTAGAGAAATTATATTATTTTAAAAAGGCAATCTTTGTTTCCAAAAAACCCAAAATGTCCCCTTTTCAATACTTTCATAACAACAATAACCATCATCTTGTTCTTAAACAACACCTTTCACTTGAGGCTTTCTTTCACCAAACCAGAAATTCTCATAGTATGTAAACTAGGTGCAGTTATGCACCTAGCTGTTTGGAAACACTGATCCTCTAGTACTGTCTTTACTCTTACACTCGTTTAAAAACTCTTTCTAAAGTTTTCTCATTAAAGCAAAACAAAGTACCTATATCATTCTACCTTTGAATGTCAATTAGAGATTCAATCTGACATACAAAATTGACTTGGTAGCTAAAGTCTACTAACTGGGAATTAAAAAGCCAGTTGAGGATTCTGGCCCCATTACAGATACCTAATGTGCTAAGCATGAAGAAGTAATGACAATAATTCAGAGAAAGACTTATTTCTGATATATTATAGAAGTAATAACATACCTCTTTTTGAGATTAGCTTTTCTGTTTAGGTCGTTTCTCCTTGAAGCATTAACCAGCTTTTATTATGTATTTGATTTGGCACTCATGAACTACCAAGCTGACAACCAAAAAGTCCGTCACATTTTAATTTCACTAGTGCAACTTTTCAATGGGCTAACTGGAAAACACACTGAAGAGAATGAACCCAAGCCCCATGGTATAACATCAACCAAAAAGTTACATGTTTTTTCCAATACATATGCAGTTCAAGGCCACAAATAAATGATCTCCACTTCATTCTTCAGCTAACCGAAGTTTTAAATAGTACTTCTTTGAAACGTAAGACTTATTTGGAACACAAGCACAAATGAGAGTAGGCTACCTTACCTGGCCGTGGTACAGGCTGTGCTGCTGGAGTTTGTGTTTTTCGAGCAGAAGCACCTTCCTTTTAAAAGACAGAAGAGGTAACGTTAACAGCTAGCCTTCTTGTCAGGTACAAGGGTTTTTTAAATGAACACGGAGCTACAGAAGGTATCATGAAAATGACAGCAATAAGTTCCCACTAAAGAGAAGAAAGAAAATAGTGAAAATATTCAAAACTATTTTCAGATTCTGTTTTAGACGTAGGGAGGACAGACCACCTCATAAGCTTTCACAGGTTTACATTTTAACCATCAAATGCCCATCAGAAACTTTTTTCTATATTCAAAAAAATCTTTTCTATTTTTCATTTTACCTATGATCACTTTCACCAAGGGTTACTAATGTAAATATAAGCAATTGGCTATATACATTTCAATAAGATCTGTTCATGCTCTGGAT